TATTTCAATCATTGATCTCCCATTAATTTTTTAAATTTATAACAATGAAACTCACATGCTGTTATTGTAATGGATGTTCATGAGCAGTGTATAATAATTATAATATGATAAATCTTGAGTAAAAATAAGATTTGTACAGAAGAAATTGTTCCAAAATTTATAACAATGAAACTCATGTGCTCTTATTGTAATGGATGTTTATGATCAGTATAAGCAGTGTATAATAATTATAATATGATAAATCTTGAGTGAAAATAAGATTTGTACAGAAGAAATTGTTCCAAAATTTATAACAATGAAACTCATATGCTCTTATTGTAATGGATGTTTATGATCAGTAGTGTATGATAATTAAGTATGATAGATCTTGAGTGAAAATAAGATTTGTACAGAAGAAATTGTTCCAAATGCATAATGCCTGAACAGAAAATAATAATGAAAACAACTTGGCTGCATGCAATTGGTTAGGTTTTGCCCCAGTTATTCTAGTAGAAATTAAAATTAAAAATTACAGAGTAAAAAGTGAAGTGCGACTGATTTTAATCACAAGCAATGTATATAGTATGCAATAGCATTATGAAATGAAAACTTGGCCAAGGAACAACCATTCTAAGACACATACCTTGCTTCAAGATCTAAAGAAGAGGAAAGATTGAATGAAACACTGTCCCCAAGATTTAAAATCATGGTACATGAATGCACCATGAAGAAACAGGTGTTGAAGATGTGCAAATAGAACGGCCAAGTCTAGGAAATAGGGCTCAGTAAAGGCTAAAAGTGAAGGCTTAGTTAAACCTCTGATGAATCACAAAGATGATGAACTATATTTTTCTCATTAACACGTTAACTTGTTGAATGCTATTTCTAAACTAGTGTCTCTCTTCCTGTTCTTATTGTTATTATTAGGTCACTCGAAAAAGATATTCGCAGTTTTTTTTCTTTTTTTTTTAATAATTAACCATTTCAATTGAAATTTCTCCTAATCAATCTTGGATTTAATTGCCTTCTTCCTATTTGACAATTTGACTTGAACAAACATTATGAAATATTTGGTTATACCTCTTTAAGAGAAATAAGCTTATAACATGTTGCTTATTAGGTACATAGTCATTGCACTATGCTTGTAGTAAAAGTCTATTTAAATGAAATTTGAAACTATAGTGTAAGATTAAAAAAAAAAAAATACCTAAACATGAAATATTGCTGTTAATTATAAATCAATCGATTTAATTTACTTTCAATTACTCGTTTCTCATTTATATATGTGTTTCCTATCTTTCAACATGTACGAAAGAGAAAAGGATATTGAAAATATAGCAAAGTCATCTTGTAATCATTCTTTTGGAAAAATAATAGACATTGTAGCCACGTAAAGTCAGTCGCAACTAAAATTTTTGTTTTAGATTTGTTATAAGTAAACAATTAGTAACAGTGAGCAATTTTATACAACGCGTAGTATGAAAATAGAATTCAATATTGAAATTTTCCCATCATTCGCTTTCATTATTTTTTTTTTTTTTTTACAGATTTCAAGATTTCAACAACGCATTATTTCTTACGGAAGAATCGACTTTCCGCGAATCATATCTTAGTGGTACAGGCGAATTAGATCTTGAAACATGAGACTAGAAGTAATC